CCTAACCCCAGTAAGAATGGCCATCATTAAAAAAACAAACAACAACAGACGCTGGTGAGGATGTGGAGAAAAAGGAATGCTACATGCTAGTGGGAGTGCAAACTAGTGCAACCTCTTTGGAAGACAGTGTGGCAATTTCTGAAAGAACTAGAAATTGACCTTCCATATGACCCAGTAATTCCCCTATTGGGAATCTACCCGGAGGAACTCAAATCATTCTACAAAAAGATACCTGCACACGTATGTTTGTTGCAGCACTGTTTACAATAGCAAAAACCTGGAACCAACCATGTTGCCCATCGAAGCTAGACTGGATAAAGAAAATGTGGTACATAAACACAATGGAATATTATGCAGCCATAAAGAAAGACAAATACATGGACTTCGCAGCAACTTGGATAGATTTGGAGTCAATCATACTCAGTGATCTATCACAGAATCAAAGAACAGAGTACCATTTGTTCTCACTCATAAGCGGACCTTGTACAATTATAATACTATAAGAAAGGATTTTGCAGTAATGGGAAACTGTCAGGGTGGGACTAGCAGTTGAGGGAAACTGTTAGGGGAGAGAGGGGCATATTTCATCAACAAGTGTACCTGCATAATCAATGTTTGTATACCTAACCCTGAATTGTATCCCACATCTTTATAATAAAAAAAATTCCCCAGCAAAATAGCAGGATAAAGTCAACACACAAGTTATTTGCATTTCTATAAAGTAGCAATGAGCAATCTGAAGAGGAAATGATGAAAACAATTTCATTTACATAGCATCACAAAGAATAAAATACTTATGAATTAACAAGGTGGTAAAAAGACTTGTACAATAAAATCTACAAAACAGTGCTGAAAAATTAAAGAAGGAATAAATAAATGAAAACACAACCTAGGTTCATGAATTGGAACACAATATTGTTACAATGTCAATACTACCCAAAGTGATCTACAATTCATTTTTTCAGTGCAATCTCTGTCAAAACCTCAATGTTGATTTGAGCAGAAATGGAGAAAGCTATCCAAAAATTCATATGGAATTTCATACGGAATCATATGAACCTCAAATAGTCAAAGAAATCTTGAAAAACAGGAACAAAGCTGGAAAAGTTACACTTCCTGATTTAAAACTTACTACAAAGCTACAATAATCAAAACAATGTGGCACTGGCTAAAAACAGACATAAAGAACACAGAAATAAACTCTCATATATACAGGCAAATGATTTTTGACAAAGATGCCAAGACAATTATATGGGGAAAGGAGACTCTTTTCAACAAATGGTGCTGGGAAAATTGGATACCAGCACGCAAAAGAATAAAGCAGGACTCTTACCTAATCTATATGTAAAAATTAACTCAAAATGTATTAAAATCCTAAATGTAAGACCTAAAACTATAAAACTCTTAGAAGAAAACATAGGGCAAAAATCTTCACAACATTGGATTTGGCAATGACTTGTTAGATACAACACCAAAGACACAGGTAACAACAAAAACAAAAACAGATAAATTGGACATCATTAAAATAAAACACTTTTATATATCAAGACATTATCAAGAGAGGGAAAACCATTTGCAAATCATATACTTTATAAGAGATTAATCTCCAGGATATATAGAGAACTTCTAAAACTGAACAACTATAAACACCCCAATTAAAAAATGGGTAAAAGACTTGACTAGACATTTCTCCAAAGAAGATGTACAAATTGTCAAAAAAACACATGAAAAGATGTTCGATTTCACTAATCATTAGGGACATGCAAATCAAAACTACAATGAGATATCACCTCACATCCATTAGGGTGGTTATTACAAGAAAAAAACACACACACACGGAATGACAAGTCTTGGTGAGGATGTGGAGAAATTGAATCCCTTGGGCACTGTTGGTGGGAATGTAAAATGACGCAGTCACTGTGGAAAACAGTATAGCAGTTCCTCCAAAAATTAAAGTAGAATTACCATATGATCCCACGCCTGGGTATATACTCCCAAAAATTGAAAACAGAGTCTCAAAGAGCTTCGGTACACTCACATTCATAGTAGCAAGATTCGCAATAACTAAAATGTGGAGTATTTCCCAGTGGAGGAAAGGATAGACAAAATGTAGCATGTGAGGTCCAACAATGAAGTTTGTGAACTCATCCTAGAAAAAGCGCTATATACCTCACTGCTGAATATCACTACAGTCACCTTCAAAGTACTCCCCTAGGGAAGTACGCTGACACCAGCACCTGGTATACCCATCAAAGCAATTTTGTAACTCTTTTTCTGGAATTGCCATCAGAGCCGTCTTCATATTACCCTTGATGTCCTGAATGTCATCGAATGTCTTCCTTTCAGTATTTCCTTTATCTTTGGTAAAAGAAAAAAGTCACTGGGGGTGCCAGGAGAGTAGGGAAGGTGTTCCAACATAGTTATTTGTACAGGGTTGCCAAATTAAGTGCATGGTGGCAAGTTCGCAACTTAATTGTCAGGTCTCAACAAATAACGATGACAGCTCTAATGACCAGTCCAGAAAAAGAGTTCCAAAGTTGCTTTGAAGGGCAGACTAGGCGCTGGCATCGATGCATAGCTTCCCAAGGGGAAGGTGACCATAGTGATATTCAGCAATTAGGTACGTAGCACTTTTTCTAGGACGGTTCGCGAACCTAATTGTCAGACCTCATATATATACAAGGGAACATTATTCAGACTTAAAAAGGAATGACATTTTGACATGGATGAACCTTGAGAACATTATGCTAAGTGAAATAAGCCAACCACAAAAAGACGAATACTGTATGATTCTACTTATATGAATAAGGTACTTAGAGCAGTTGTCAAAATCATAGAGACAGGTAGTAGAATGGTGATTTCCAGAAGCTGGCAGAAGGAGAGAATGGGGAGTTATTGTTTAATGGGTACAGAGTTTTAGTTTTACGAAATTAAACGAGATCTGGAGATGGATGGTGGTGAAGGTTGTACAACAATGTATTTAATACCAATGAATTGTACACTTAAAAATGGTTAAATGGCTACTTTGTTTTGTGTATTTTGCTACAGTAAAAAATTGGAAAATAAATAGATAAGTAAATTTCCTATGACATACCTCTCAAGTGAAGTAGTAGTCTAAGTCTGGGAGAGAAACTGAGAATTTCTCCTATGGAAGATGTGCTCCTGGGAAGCGGTAAGTCAATTTCTGCCACTTGGCTCTTGTAACCCAGGGCTGAGTAGGCCTCCCAGACCCTGTCATCTAAGTGTCTGTGGTTCAAGGGCTGGTAGGTGGAAGATAGTGGAGGGGCCCAATGTGAAAAGGCACACTCTGCCTTGGGCTCCAAGTGTGGCTTGTGACCAGTAGGTTGGCAAGACTGGCATCATCCAGAGACTGGTTAGAACTGTGGGATGTCTGGTCTCACCCTACTCCTGCCGATTCAGAATCTGCATTTTAATAAGATCCCCAGTGATGTGTGTGCACTTTGAGGCTTGGGAAACATTACCCACATGAACCAACAAATTACCTGTTAGCCTCCACTCAAATACCTCGCTCTACCACTACAAAATCCCTGGGTCAATTGGTCTTTCCTCCCAGCATCAAATATAATCATACAATGCAAAGCAAATCAGCATCAGAGCGAATCTGCAAACATAGCAAAAAACGCAGGACTTCAGAGAATCGATAGCTGTGGTATCAGAGAACTACTCAAGTCAAACACACAGCATCGACAAGCAAGGAACTGGCAGATTTAGATCCATTACGAAGCGAAGAGAAGCTGATGTACAGGCATGATGACATTCCTTCAAAGGAGAATGATTTGAATATCAAAAAATGAAGACAGCCCCTCAGGAAAAATGATGAGGCCCATGAATATCTTTGTAAGAATGACCCACTTTATGATTATGCTGCAAAAGTCAAACACAATTTTATAAAAAAATCTATGTTCCAAAAAAAATCAACACTTCATTTAATCTTTAATCATTCTAAGATGGAGCACATTGTGCAATCATAATTTAAGTTGCATTACATAAAATAAGATACATTTTTCATAAGTTTTAGTCCCATTTTTAAAAAATGAAGTCTAATTAAAACTTTTTGTCAGTATTTACCCTGATGGTTGGCCCTTTTCGTTTGTTTGTTTTTGACAGAGTCTCACTCTGTTGCCCAGGCTGGAGTACAGTGGCATGATCACAGCTCACTGCAGTCTCAACCTCCTGGACTCAAGTGATTCTTCCACCTCAGCCTCCTGGGACTACAGGCACACACCACCACACCCAGTTAATTTTTGTATTTTTTATAGAGACAAGGTCTCACTATGTTGCCCAGGCTGGTCTCAAACTCTTGGTTTCAAGAGATTCTCCTGCCTTGGCCTCCCAAAGTGCTGGGATTACAGGCATGAGCCACTGTGCCCAGCCTGGTCCTTGTTTTAAGTGCATTCAGGCTAAGTGGACTTTCCCAGTGCCAGTTTTTCTCCAACAGTAAGATCTGCAGAACTCAAATTCTTACTATTGCACATTCCTTTCTCTGTTTCCAACAAGGAACTTATTTTTGGTGCCTATGACCAGTGTGAGACCATTGCTATTAACTCACTCCACAGTTCAGTGAAGAATTCTTTTTTTTTTTAAGTTGGAGTCTCACTCTGTTACCCAGGTTGATGTGCAGTGGCATGCTCACGGCCACCGCAGTCTCGACCTGCTGGGCTCAGGTCATCCTTCTGCCTCAGCCTCCCTAGTAACTGGAACCACAGGTGCACACCACCACACCTGACTAATTTTTTTATTTGTTGTAGAGACGAGGTCTCACCAAGTTGCCCAGGCTGGTCTCGAACCCCTGGACTCAGGCAATCCTCTCACCTTGGCCTCCCAAAGTTCTGGGATTACAGGCTGAGCCACCGTATCTGCCAGCCGAAGAATTCTTTTGCTGTCCCATTTCCTGGTTAGATGTTTCAGCCCATCATGCTACCACAGAAGATCTATCCTTGGGGAATAGCTATCACAGCAGGTGTCTATTCTGTGATTACCTTATCCACCATGAGAAAGCTCTCCAGCTTCTCTCCGTTTTCGCAGGTGATGTCACCAACCTCTCTTACGGCTCTGGGCAGGATCTCTTGCACCTCCTGGGCAATCATTCCTATGTACAAAACACTCCAACAGGTTTAATCAAAGAAAGACCTTCCTGGAGAAAATCCCCGCTAAGCTTCTGCTTTGATCTACAAGGCATCTGCAGCAAAGAAGGAATTTTGAGCCAAGAACCACTATAGGATTAAAAGGGAGAGTGTGTGTTTTCACTGCCTTTTTTTTTTTTTTTTTTTTGACTCTTGGCCAAATGTTGGAAAGGGTGAGGTAAATACCTTAATATCTCTGCCCATAGAAATAAGAATGGGGGTTTAGCTTGATTTTCTTTCTTTTCCTACAGGAGGATTTTGTCACTAAATTTCCCCTCTTTCTTTAGGATTCCTGGACTGGTGTGTAAACATCACTTTGCCTGCCCCTTCTCTTACCCAAACCTGTTTACCCCACCACCTTCCTCCTCCTTCCTCAGTGCTACTCCTTATGTAGGTTTAGCTGCTCTCTGCTCCTGAACCCCTATCCCATGGGCAAGGAGACTCCAGTGAAAATAAACTATACACCAAAAATACTCCACTGTACCTTGGGGTGCAGGATTGGGAGTGTTGATGAAAGATGACACAGAATTTCTTTAACCTTCCCTGTTCTAGTGACAATGAGTTTTATAGAGAACAGGTTCGATCAACATAGTGTTATCACATGCCATAGTACACAATCTCACAGAGGGAATTACAATGTAAGTAGTTGACAGTACAAAATTAAAAAGGGAATTTGTGTGTGTACCTGTTTGATGGGCAGTGTTTATTCCCATGGCAGATGCAAATTCAGGTTTGTAGTCATATTCAACAATTCTCATCTGGGCTATTCTTCTCAGCTGTTCATTTGTGTCAACCTAATTTAATTAAAGAAGAGCAGATTTTACTCACTTAGATATTTGCTATTCAAATTAATGCCCAGAGTGACCCAGAGACATCACTGAATTGCTTTTGGACATTTTGCTGGAGATAATTTCTTCAAGTAGGTTGCAAGCCAGGATCACCCAACTGCAAGTCCTATGGGACTCAGGCTCCTTCCCCATCTTCCAGACTCTCCCTCCCCCTTCTTCCAGATGCTCCCTCCCTCATACCACCCTAGTCACCGAGGGCATCCTCCTCTTCATCTCCTCAACAATTGCTCTTAGGCTATAAAAGGCATTCCCAACTGTCATTACCTGGTTCCAGCAAAATGACCACAATCAAGATAATATCGTGAATTTTCCCTAAAGCTAAATGTGTTTGCTCCAAAGGATTCCCTTTTAATTTGAGTTTTTTGACGAATTAACGGTAACGGCGGGATCATTTTTTTAAATGTCCTTACCTGACAAGTAAAAAGTTGACAGTCCTCTGTGGGCCCCCCACATTTTGTTTTAGAACCCAGTTGAACTGTAAAATGCAGGGGTGTCTTGGCAGTTAAAAATACACTGCCTGAGCATTCATTGATGTGTTCAAGGAAACAGAAATTCTTTCTGTTGTTGTTTTAAGAAAACCATCGTCATGGTCCTTAACACCTCCTGCGACCCACTCCATGAGGTAAAGTCCCCCTACCATCATGTAGAGCCCTCAGTCCTTTACTGCTTTGGCTGATTGCAAAAGATGGTGACTTGGTGCTTAATGGACTAAATAGATCAACTTTACTTTGGATACTTATTCAGGAGTATAATTTTGCCCTTATTGCTGTTTTCATAACTGCTGTTATCAAAAGCTTAGTTCAGTTCATTCATTCTTTGTTTTATTTGACTAACATTTACTAATCACCTTCAACATAGTATGCACTACCAAGTGTTGGGACTTAAAAAGTGATTGCCTTTTTAAAGCTTGTGGTCTAGACAAGAAGACAGATGCATCATATGTGATTATATCACAACGTGGAAAACGCAGAGCAATGATGGAATTATGAGCAGAGTCATGGCAGCTCAGAGGAGGTACCCGAAATATTCTTTTTTTTTTTTTTTTTTTTTTTTTT